TTCATAGGTAGGGGCATTCGTAAGTCGAGGCACAACTGTTTGACCTGTCCTTTCTTATCTTATTCCTGCTGGCATTCCCACTGTTCAGGATCCAATCAGTATACCCATTACAGTCATTTCCTAATGTGTAGACACTGTTGACAGTTGTTGTGCAGTCTTTTTATTTGGCATAATCACAAGGGAAGGTGTCTGAGGACACAGGAAAAACCTTTTAAAATACTTTGTCTTTTTTAAAGTGGAAATAATGACTATATAGTAGTCATATTGACTGTAATGTAGTTCTGGATATCTGGAAAATCCATATTTTAAAAATTCTAAATCCAGAAGGGTGTGATTTCAAATCTGAATCCAAATTTTAGTGCTAGTGCACATCCTTAATTTTTAGTCATGTTCATTTCAACTATTTGCATAATGTGGAAACGAATTCAAAATAGTAGTTTTGTACTGTACTAGTGCAGTTGACCTGATGAGGAAGATTGTTTTTCTTTTGCTTAATTTCATCATTCTTAGAAAATGATTGTAACATGTTAGCATGCCTTTATATTTTTCACAGGTATATTGAAATTGACACAATTCTATCACAAATAGCTAATATTAATAGCAGATGTACTTTGAATTTCTATAGAAATCAGATAGAGAAAAAGATATATTTTTGGATGCTGTCCTAAAATCTTAGGAGTAATTTTGCCTGTCTGAGTTGCAGTTAGGCAAAGCATATATGTGAGAGGGTTGGGTGATCATGGTTCTGCTTGAAACACTCAGGTTTAAGAACAGTAGTTTTGGAAGTGGTGATTTCTAGAGGCAACAAACATGTATATGTGTATAAAAGGGGAAAATTTATATGCAACAAGGAAAGTAAAATAAGTAGTGGTTCCTAGACATTTAGAAATATGTTGTAACTAACTATAGATATAAAAATAAAACTGAAATCTTCAAGAATGCAGACATTTTCCGCTTGACCTTTGTTTGGAAGTAAATCTAATAGACATGGTTAGAATGCATTATATTTTCTTTATTTTTTATGAAGCATATTTTTAAAACTATAAGTTGTTATGGAGAATTTTTATGAAAATAATGATATAGTCCCTCAGAAACCTAATCAAGATTAGGTTACATGTCCTGGAGAACATGCATACAAAAGTCTAGTAGTTGTGCTTAAACATTTGACATGAACATACTTAACACTTGCACAAAGTGCACTCAAAAGGTGTCAGGATCCCATGAGCTATGGACCTCCAAGCTAATAGATTTCAAATTCATGAGTTTGTCCAAAGCAACAAAGAGTCAAGCTTTAGAAGCGACAACTGGAGATATGAAGACCCTGAGGCAGGAAGCACAGTCCAAGATGGACAATCATATGTTGTTCATATGAGGTTGTGTTTACCTAATTTGTGGACCTTCTAAGGACCAGATGATTTTTATTATGTCCTGATATGTAAAACCATAGAATTCAAACAGGGTGTACTTACTTTTTCACATGACTGTAGCTACTGAAAGACAAGGCCTGTTTATCATAGACAGTTGGGCAAAAATGGGGACAGCACTGCAGGCTGAGAAGAGGAAAGGGGTATATAGCTCACACTCTTAACCTAGTAGTTCAGAGTGCTTTGCAGAGTATGGAAGACATGCATCCCTAATATAACAGTGGACCATAAAGATAGGAGGGCATTTTCAACACTGTGTCCATGGCAGAGAACTGTTGCAGCAGAGGCAAGAAAAATTGAGATTGCCACTGCACTACCTAATCTAGGATGTGGCAAGTTGAAGGAATTCCAATTACTGCCTGCTTAAAACAGTGACGGAGCCACAAAGGGCATTTGGCTGCTCCAAACTTTTAACTGTGAGGGCCATATATATTTTCAAATTTTTCATGGGGACTCCTGCACGCTTGTGTGCAGTCCCACACACATGCTTGGCCTGATGAAAGGCAAGGTGGGCTGGATGTGGCCCATGGACTGTAGTTTAGAGATGCCTGGTCTAGGTGGATGGGGAATTTCATAGAGGGAGAACAGCATTTTTCTATGCTTCGTTCTGCTGCTCCCGATTCTGCCTCTTTCATTCTTCCAACTGCTACTCCAAGATTTTTCTCCCTCACTCAAAACCCAACCAGAAGTTTCTAAAAAGCAAAAAGTAGCACCTTACCAGGCAGACTAAAGCCTCCTCCTAGGCACTCACTCCCCGGTGGATGGCGGCCGGCGCGTATGGCAGCCAAGGCGGCGGCGGGGGCCCTTACTCATGCGTAGATCCATGCCTTTGGCAGGCCTTACTCATGCATAGACCCGCGCCAGGGATGGGCAGGGAATGCACCGGCTTCCTGCGCCCGGCAGTGAACTGGAGCCGTCCCGTTTCTCATTCCTCCTCCTGCGCTGCCGCTGCACGCCCCGTCCATGGAGGAGCCCCTTTGACCCGTGCACGTCAGCCCAGCCCAGGGCCTTCGGGGACCCTTACTAGTGAGTAGAGCCGTGCCTTCGGTGGGCCTTACTCATGAGTAGACCCACACCAGGGATGGGCAGGGAGCACACCAGCTTCCTGTGCCTGGTGGGGATCCGGAGTGGCGATCCGGAGCTGCCCCCGCCTCTCCTTTCTCCTCCTGCGCCACAGGAGTAAAAAAGTTCCCTGACCCCTTGCTCTGTCCGTTGGGACGAAACAGCTACAAAGAAGCAGCCTCTTTGTCACCCACAGTTTGAATTTCCCCCTTTCCCCCTGCCTTTTTCTGTTCTTAGATCAAAGCTCCGCTCAGCAGTTGAAGCAAAATTTTGCGAGCAGAGCCGTTTCTAAGTCGAAATGTTCGTAGGTAGGGGCGTTCGTAAGTCGAGGCACAACTGTATGACCTGTCCTTTCTTATCTTATTCCTGCTGGCATTCCCACTGTTCAGGATCCAATCAGTATACCCATTACAGTCATTTCCTAATGTGTAGACACTGTTGACAGTTGTTGTGCAGTCTTTTTATTTGGCATAATCACAAGGGAAGGTGTCTGAGGACACAGGAAAAACCTTTTAAAATGTTTTGTCTTTTTTTTAAGTGGAAATAATGACTATATAGTAGTCATATTGAATGTAATGTAGTTCTGGATATCTGGAAAATCCATATTTTAAAAATTCTAAATCCAGAAGGGTGTGATTTCAAATCTGAATCCAAATTTTAGTGCTAGTGCACATCCTTAATTTTTAGTCATGTTCATTTCAACTATTTGCATAATGTGGAAACGAATTCAAAATAGTAGTTTTGTACTGTACTAGTGCAGTTGACCTGATGAGGAAGATTGTTTTTCTTTTGCTTAATTTCATCATTCTTAGAAAATGATTGTAACATGTCAGCATGCCTTTATATTTTTCACAGGTATATTGAAATTGACACAATTCTATCACAAATAGCTAATATTAATAGCAGATGTACTTTGAACTTCTATAGAAATCAGATAGAGAAAAAGATATATTTTTGGATGCTGTCCTAAAATCTTAGGAGTAATTTTGCCTGTCTGAGTTGCAGTTAGGCAAAGCATATATGTGAGAGGGTTGGGTGATCATGGTTCTGCTTGCAACACTCAGGTTTAAGAACAGTAGTTTTGGAAGTGGTGATTTCTAGAGGCAACAAACATGTATATGTGTATAAAAGGGGAAAATTTATATGCAACAAGGAAAGTAAAATAAGTAGTGGTTCCTAGACATTTAGAAATATGCTGTAACTATAGATATAAGACTGAAAACTTCAAGAATGCAGACATTTTTCCCTTGACCTTTGTTTGGAAGTAAGTCTAATAGACATGGTTAGAATGCATTATGTTTTCTTTATTTTTTATGAAGCATATTTTTAAAACTATAAGTTGTTATGGAGAATTTTTATGAAAATAATGATATAGTCCCTCAGAAACCTAATCAAGATTAGGTTACATGTCCTGGAGAACATGCATACAAAAGTCTAGCAGTTGTGCTTAAACATTTGACATGAACATACTTAACACTTGCACAAAGTGCACTCAAAAGGTGTCAGGATCCCAGGAGCTATGGACCTCCAAGCTAATAAATTTCAAATTCATGAGTTTGTCTGAAGCAGCAAAGAGTCAAGCTTTAGAAGCGACAACTGGAGATATGAAGACCCTGAGGCAGGAAGCACAGTCCAAGATGGATAAGATATTGAGCTTTCAAAAGCATAAGGAGTTGTGAACAGAAGCCCTTGGCCAGAATGAAAATCATGCTCTGTTGCTGGGCTTTAACAAAATGTAGTGTTGTCAGTTAGGGTCAATCATTCTCAGTGAGGGCCATATCATTCCCCTGGGGGTCCTGTCAGATTTGATGGAGGCCACAGATTCATCTGTACATGCTGTTACCCTTGTTTGACGAGGCCCTGGAACCTGAGAAGGGCTCCTAAAAGGGCCATGGGCAAAAAAAAGTTGGGAATGGCTGAGTTAGGTCCATCCATTAAAAATAATAATTAGGAAAATTTAGAATGTTTAGAATATAGCTTGAATTATACCCTAGGAATATAGTTCTGTGGCTTTTGGCAAACATGTGGCTATGTAGTCCAAAAGATAAGATGCTAGAGGCATGTCAAGAGAGAGAGCATGTTAAATACCATCCCTGGTGACTTTCATGAGGTTAATAATGGAACCCTCTTCTCTTCTCTGTTACTTCCAAGTGGAGCTTTGTGCAATTAATCAGTGCTATGTGTTAAATGCAAATAAATTGTTGAGACAGCAATCATCCATCTCTTCCTGCTATCTCTCTCTCTCTTATTTATTTAAAGGAAATAGCATAATAAATATTAAACACAAACTGCTTAGCATTAGATTTCACTCTTAAAGTACCCTATAAAATAGCACAATTGTGTTCATTTATTTATACAACATTTTTATATACATTTGTTAGTAACTAGCATTCATTATGTCTGTTACAATTTGGTCAGTTCGAATGAACATACAGTGTGATTGTATTTCAGTCTGATTTTATACTTTCACATAAAAAGGTACCTACATAAAATGCCTATTCTTTTCTTATGCAGATGGAAATTTGTGTCACTCAGATGTCTCTCTCTTTGGGGAACCGACTGAATTTGAATACCTGAGGAAGGTGCTATTTGAGTACATGATGGGCCGTGAGACAAAGGTATCCTATGTCTTCAGTACAAATGCAGGAACAGGTGATATCTTTATTGGACCACTAAAAAAATAAAACAAAACAAAAACAAACTGATCTATCAATGATAATTCATCTTCCTCAGGCTGTGCACCAAGTTTTTGCTGGGTAGTTCCAAAATTATATGCTTTTATTGAAGTCCCAAAACCTCATGGCTGTTTCTGGGGCCAGGTTTAGCTTCTTAGATGGAGATAGTTGCAGTCAGCAAGAGCAGTGGACGGGGTTTCAAACTGCAAGTACTTTGGAATTTATCACCTTCAGGGTACATATTTATCCAGTTAATCATTATAAGGAAGGAGCAAAGCTATTTTGGTTCCAAAGTAAAGTGGTGCTGCTTTCAAGCACAAGTGTTAAATTATACATCTAACCTTGTTTTGCCAGTCTTGCCATATGTGTGTTTACATAACACCATTCTATAAAATGTTGGTATGTGTTCCTCATTCTGCAGTCTCTGATACAGTACTGGTTTCAGGGTAATGTGACAAAAACAGTTGCAAAGTTGCACATTTACTTCACAGAAATGTTCATTTCTGTTAGAAAGGACTGGGTAACATGTATCATTTAAACCAACAAATTAGGTCTGCAGACTGCAGCCTCATGTGACTTGAATGCTTTCCTGTATGTAATTCACTATCTGCAGCAAAGGAGACGAGAAGGGCATGAATCACCTGCTATAATCAAGTTGTTACTGCACTAGATGCCAAGGCTGCCCTCTTTATTCTTCCTTTGCCTTAGTTCTTCTGCAGTGTACTTTGTGTGATTTTCCCTTGCTGTTTCTGTTTTAAAAACAAAACTAATAATCATATTTTTTTTCCTTTTTCCACATTTTATTTATGTATTTATTTATTTATTTATTGGATTTATATACCGCCCCATAGCGCTACAAGCACTCTCCGGGCGGTTTACAGTTTTAATTATACAGGCTACACATTGCCCCCCCCAGCAAGCTGGGTACTCATTTTACCGACCTCGGAAGGATGGAAGGCTGAGTCAACCTTGAGCCGGCTACCTGGGATTTGAACCCCAGGTCGTGAGCACAGTTTTTTAGCTGCAGTACAGCGATTTAACCACTGCGCCACGAGGCTGCATCTCCCCCCCCCCACTTCCTATCCCTGGATTTGGTCTCCAGGAGCTAAAGAACTCCTGCACCCTAAATAATCTTTGCTTTGTTCATGTCAGAAGCACCACAGTACAATTAGTAAACCTATCAAATAATTTTTATCGGGGGGGGCAAGATGATAGCCAAAGCACAGATGTGCATTTGATAGAGATGTATTGAGTCTTTCACTATTAGCTGTTGCCTCTCTCTGTATGTCACTGGGTGCAATGTCGACTATGGATTTTATTCATAGGGCTTGGTTTCAGGCACCTATTAGTAATTCTGCTGCTTTCACTGAGTGCTACATTTACCTGTTTTGCATGGGCTGAACTATACTACACTGGGCTAGCATATTCTCCTGCACAATAGCATAGGACCAAGGCTGTAGTTCTTAGTGTGTGTAGTTTTGTACCCCAGCTGGTTCCCAGTAGCTTTAAAGGGATTTTGTTCCTTGCAGAGACCTATTGCTTTTCATTTAGACAGCAAATCTTATAGGTCAATGTACAATCCAAAGTAACACCTAGGTATGTTAGAAGCAAAACAATGACCGAGTTGGATGCCCTTCCAGGATATCTGAAGTTTCCGAGATGTCTGCTTGTTTCTCAGATGGGGCAAGAGGGGGAACATATTTGAGTCTTAGCAGGGTTGGGCCTAAGTTGATTTCCGCCCTAATAAATACCAAGTTCTTATATTACAATTGCTAGAAGGTGTCCTACCTACTGAAAGCTGTCTGACTAAGCAGCAATTGTGAAATTTTCGGCATAATTAAAACTCCTGATGCCTTGAGGAAGGGATTCATTTTTAATGTAGATGTTAAACAAAGTAAGGACCATTATACTAGCCTAGACTAGACCATTTTTAGTCCTCCATTGGTTGTGTTGTCCTTGAAAATGTATGAAAAATCTTCATATGCAAAACTGACCTCCGATTGGGACACAAGGTCTACAGAAAACCCACCCACACAGACCGGTACCTACACAAAAATTCCAGCCACCACCCACAGCAAAAAAGATGCATAATCAAAATACTGGTGGACTGTGCAAATCAGAACTGTGAAGCTGAATTTCTCGGCACCGAACTCAACCAACTTAATTGGGCCCTACAGGCAAATGGCTATTCCAAAAATGAGCCATCAAACCAAGAAATCAACACCAAACTGAAGAAGAAAAACAGCCACCCACAAATAAAGTATTTCTACCATACATCAAAGGGGTCACGGACCACATGGGGAAGCTTTTGAAAAAAACACAACCTACAAACGGTATTCAAGCCCACCACAAAATACAACAAATGTTACGGTCAGCAAAAGACAGAAGGGACCCCCTCACCACTGCAGGAGTATACCGGATACCTTGCAGTTGTGGCGAGTTGTATATTGGAACCACAAAACGAAGCATTCACACCAGAATCAAGGAACATGAGAGACACTCAGACTAAAATAACTGGAAAATTCAGCAGTAGCTGAACATGCCCTAAAACAAGCTGGTCGAAATGACTAGATAGGCGGGGTATAAATACAATAAATAAATAAATAAATTCTATTTCAAAATACTGAAGTACTGGACAACACCATCAGCCACTATGTTAGACTACACAGGCAAGCCATAAACATCAGCAGAGTTTCAACAAAAAAGAAGAAAGTTTAAAACTGAATAAAGCTTGGCTCCCAGCACTGAAAAATACAGCCTGCAAAAGGTCACGAATTCTACCCAGCCACAAGGACTAGTGATCACTACACACAAAAGACCAGCTAATGACACACATCAAGCACAGTGACAGATAATCTCTCCTCCTTATCACAACAATAGACCCACAACAAAAACACACTGATCACCATTATCACCTATCTCCTGAATAGGACAAACGCTGAACCCAAAACTATAATTACTCAATTCTCCAACTAACTGCACCAGAGCACAGCGTGCTACTCCTGTCCTCTGAAGATGCCAGCCACAGAGACTGGTGAAATATTAGGAAGAACAACCTTCAGAACACAGCCAAAGAACCCAAAAAACCCACAACCAAAAATCTTTGGTTTTGCAAAAAGGTTGCTCTGACTTTAAGTTAGATTGCAATCCATATTGAATTATAGAATTTTTGCAGTAGTACTGGATGATGAACGTTGTCACAGACAACTGAGAGATCAATGAAGACTCACCACATTAGCTTCTTAGTTTCAAAGCCATCTTCAATATGTTGGTTAAATGTAGGTTTTGTGCTGTGCAGTTCTTCAGAGGTCTAATGCCAACCTGCTATGGAATTAGGAGTGGTTCCACTACTTCAATCAGAAAGTTAAGAATAATGATGGTTGTTGTGGGTTTTTTTGGGATCTTTGGCCGTGTTCTGACCCAGTAAAATTCCTGTAGAAGACATCATTGCCAACGTGAAAGAAATAAGAGGTGAAGTGACAAGGATCCTACAAAAAGCAAAAATCCCCCAAAAGCATCATAACAAGAAAGGAGAGAAATGCGATCAAGTCCCTAAATTCAGATCTGGACATCATTATTCTGCCAGCAGACAAAGGCATGCCACAGTAATCATGGAAACAGAAGAACACAGGGACAAAATCAGGGAACTTCTAGACCCCATCACCTACAGAAAACTGAAATGGGACCCAATCAACAAAATTACAAAACAGACATGCTGATCAGGAGTTCCGCCCTGTATTTTTGGTGCCTGTGCAGCGAAGAATCCGTCCCAGAAAACAGCGGGAAGCCATTTTATTTACCCAGCAGCCACTTTGAAACCGCCAATCAGCTGGAGGAAAACCGTTGTTTTGCGAAGAATCTGCTTCAGGAACCGATCATCGCAAAGTGAAAAAAACCCATTCAGACCATCGTTTTGCGATCGCAATTGCGATCACAAAAAGATCATCATAATGTGGTTTTGTCGTAATGCGGGGCAATCGTAAAGTGAGGCACCACTGTATATAAGAACACCTTGCTCTTGTTGACCATCAGGGTTTACAAGCCCACCTTAAAGGCCTTTCAGTGGTGCTGCATACACAACTGCATTCTGCCTAATCAGAGTTCCTCAGGTTTTGGAGTTTTTCCAGTCAGGCACTGATCTGGCCCTTTGTCCTAAGAACCTGGGAGACAATTGGTATCTTTTTTCTAGTATTATCACAAAGCCAAGTGTGCCATCTCTGTCTTTTCACCCTCACATTCACCAATTCATCACAGAAGCTGCCTTGCTCAGTCTCCCTTAATCTCCTCACTGAAACTGTTTTTGCATTCCTGTGTTCTGTCTCACTGAGGCTACTTACTTACCTTGAATGTGGTCTTGTTAGTGGTGAATACATTCACCAGACAAGTCTTAGAGCGGTCTGGCTTTTTTGTTCATGTCAGTACTGTATATATTTTTGACAGAACAAGTCACCTTCAGATTTAACAGATCTCTTCTTCCAAAAAGAAATTCTCTTTGTCACATGTCTGAGGATTTGCTTCTTCGAGCTTTCTGTCCTTTCCATTCTCATCCCAGAGAAAAATTATGGCTGCTTTAGATATTTGACATGCTATCAAAAATCTACATCAAACACACAGCCTCCTTTGAAGATAAAGTACTCTTTTTGTTTCCTTCTTCCTGGTTGTGTAGACTCCAAAGTTAAACTACCTATGAAAAGCTGCTGAGTAAACATGTGCATCTTTATAGTTTACGAAGCACAAGATTACCCTAATCCAGCAACATTGTACTGTAGTAGCTTCTGCTAGGGCTACATCTACATCTGCTGCTTTTTCTATTAGTGTCCCACTGGCAAAAGCCTGCAAAGCAGCAGCCTGGGCCACTCTGTCCACATTTACTAGATATTACAAAGTGGGCACCTTTGCCTTAAGCCAAAGTGCAAAAGATCCTGTCTTCTTAGTGCTACCAGTTGCCTCTTTGTCAGCTGTGAAGTCTTGAGTGTATTTCAGTTAGGGATGTCTTCATCCTGGACACAAAATAAATGCTGGGAAAGCTTAACTGTGGAAGTCCATTCTTATTGGCAAAGAGAGATAGAGAGATCCTATTTCTTCCAGCAGGAGGCTGTTTTCACACATTTTTATCCTCTCTTTTGTGGCCTTTTTGCTAGTTTATCAGCGAGTAGAACCATAAAGATTATTTTTTTCCAAGGGTCAGAATGTTACTTTTTAAAAGTAACTTGTTTTGTTACTTAATACCTTGAGCCCGCAAGAGGTGTTTACAGTTAACATTAATCCACTTGTAAACATTACAGCTATTATTACCCTAGCCTTGTTACTAATGTACTGTATTACATTTTCTTATTACTGGGGCAGGCATTTAAAAATATATGAAAATGCTCACTGGTTCCCTCAAGTGGCCAAATTCTGTTTTTACACAGAATACTGTAAAAGAAAAACCCACAGTAAGTAAAAAAGCAAAGCTTTCCTTACTACCTTCCAGTATGTCTTGAATTACAGCCTCTGCACACACAGTTGTTTGGAAATAGGATGGGATCTGCATTCAGGTTGGCTGAATTCTATGGACGAGTGTTCTTATGAGCATTAATTTGCTGGATGAAGCAAACTACCATGTAACACCATACTTCACATAATACATGACTAGGTATATTGCACAACAGATCACTGCTCTACATTTTTTCACTTGGCTAGGTCAGAAGTGAGAGCAGAACCTTGATGTTTAATATGATAACATCTTGATTAAAGCAGGCGATTCCTGCCTTCTCTGAGCAACAATGTGTTAACCCTATCCAGGGATCTTTCTTCAGACAGAAATGGACATTGATGTAAGTCTTTCCAGTGATCTCAAAGAAAAGGTAAATGTCAGGATCCTAAAAGGGAAGAGGAATGTGTGTAAGAAGGAGCTGTCAGTCTTCTTACCCTCCCACATGCAATCTGAAGTGGTAAAGTCTAAAACTTGGTTTACGTATTCCTGTGCCGTTTATGGCAACCAGTTCGATAACTCTTCATTTATCCCCATTCTGTGGTGATCTTCAGGATGTAAAGACATTCTTGCTGTCCTGCATGAGCAAGTTACTTAAAAGCAGTTTCCATTTGTTCCAGAAATGTATTAAATATACTTATTAAATATTATTAATGATTATACAGTATATTGTCATCAGACAACTTACAGCAATGAAAATAAAAACAATGATAAGGAAACATACAAAAGAATTGCTTTAAAGTAGCAATTATCTGTAATTCTGTAAACCGAGTAAATACAGTAATCTTGGTTTCCATATAATTCTCATAAATTGTCATTTGTCAGGTAGATTAAATGAAAACATACATGTATATATCTAACCTTTTTTGCCATGATTTCATAAGTACTATTAAAAATAAAATGCAGTGCTTTGATTAATTGGGAAAATTGAAACTGCTGGTTGGTGGCTGAGACGTTTGCTTAGCCAGTTATTTTATTTACTGCTTCTTCTTTTTCTTTTAAGACAATGGCAAAAGTGATAACAACAGTGCTGAAATTTCCCACTGACCAAGCACAGAAGATCTTAGAACGAGAAGATGCTCGGACACTGGTAAGACTAGACAAAAGTTGTTTATCAGCCACCTTGTCTATATCTTGATATGTCTTGTCTATATGTATATATCTTGATCATTTATCCCTTTTTCAGAACGATTTAGTGTTATAAAAATTTATTTGGAAGGGTTTTTATAAGGACTGAGCAACTATTCTTGGGATAACCATGAGAAAATTTGAAATGGGTAACATATTTATTGAACTACCAAAACACAGGCACTCCAAAAGGCAACATTTTATTCTCTAGAATTCTTTCTTATGGAGACTGAGATCATCTGGGGACTATATTTAGTCTTCAGACCTTATGCCTTAATATTGGCATAATTTTGGATCTTTTCATTTGGATTTCACCCACCCAAGCACTGTAGAGCCGAGCCTGATGGGCATTTTGCATGGCTTTTTAAAACTTTTGCTTAGCCCATCATAACTGTTATTTGTATTTTATTTGCCATTAGTAATTAATGGTAGAGAATTTCTTCACTGAATATCAGGACAAAAGTCTCAGACTGTATCCATGGCAGTTCTTTGTTTGATACAGCTGATTTGCCGATGGACTACAAATCGGGAGTACATGTAACCTGATTATTAGTATGCTAGAAATCCTCTAAAATTACTTACTATTGTGTACAGTAACCAAAATTGGCTATAGCGGAAAGGTCTGTATTATGTCTTTAGCTACTCATAGATACAAAATGGAAATCTCAGTCCATTTTTCACTGTTGTATTTCCTATATTAAATGATTTAGTGAACTCAGTTCACTTCCTATCCCACTCCTGACAGTGTTCGACTCAGGTATGCAAACCATTAGTGAACAACACATGAAACTGTGAAGTTGAAAATGTAGATCTCAGTTTAGGAACATGATGTGTACTCATAAACATTATACAAAGCACTTTAAGGTTCCTCATTTTCCTGACATTTTAGTTCACCATTTAAATAAAAATCAAATAGAATGTGAAATATGACAAATATGAACAGATTCTATGCCATTCATCCATTCTGAAACTATTCACTTTTGGGGCTCCGTAGGTTGGGTTTAAGACTGTGTCTGAGTACCTTTTGAAGATTTTCAGAGTGATGACTGTTTTGAAGACACATAATAAAGGGTGGGGGTAAAGATTAGCTGCAATACATTCAAATGTTCATTTTGTGACTACTGTTCATTTTATTAGGAAAAAGTATGAGAGTAGTTGGTGTGGCATAGTTTTTGAAGAAAGTTAGGGATATTATGTGTGGTTTCAGTTGAAAAATTGTGTGCCACTATCTGTTCATTTTCTTTTTAGCTGTGTCCTCTCTTTGACTATATTTTTGAAAACTTCCCTGCTTTAATTTAGACTAATCCTGATGTGCTTTTCTGTCATTCCAAAACCACTGTGGGCTTCTGCTGTTAATCATATTTAATTCTGCATGCAAATGTTGGATGATGTGCTAGCGACACAGTATCATGTCTGTTGTTTCATTTTGCATGCATCAAAATAAAGAGGTGTGCATCCTTATCTTGACTCTGCTTTGAATACTAACATCTTTAAAGTATTAGTAGATCTTGTGCCCCAGCCACCAGAAAGAATCAGAAGCAGTTGGGAAAGGACAACTGTCAGGTATCATTTGTAAAACTAAATCAGCTGTTGCAGGCTCACAGGTTGTGTATCTGCATTACATGACACAGCCTTTCACTCTAAATACCCAGAAGAATTATGTCAGAGTTTCCTATCAGTACTGTTTCAGCAGTCACACAACCTTTAACAATAAGCCAGATGCAGTATAGAACATTGAAGATCCATGAATAGTCATAGATACTATTACCAAGGGCAACAAACATCAGGTGGAAATAATGCAATTTGCCAAACATTTCTAAATCCAACATTTGCTTTTATTAAAACAGTACCCCAATAAGCTGTTCTTTTCTTGGCTTTGTAGTTCACTCCACCTCACGTTGGTATCTTCTGAATAAACCATCCGTCACTGCTTTAGTTAGCATGGGGGTGAGTCTTGCCTAACATGTTTTCCTTTTCTTTGCTAAAAGTACACATAATTTGTTTGTTATATACTAACAAAAAATCTAAACATTTCTTTTTCCATACTTTTTCTGTAAAGCAATGTTTGTAGTAATCACATCTTAACCTCCTTACATTTTGATAATGGATAAATTTGAGAGTTTCTGAAAAGTATGTCCACAGCAGTGCAATAATAAGCATATAAATACACTTGGTATTTATTTTTATCTCTGTTTTCTTTGTGTCTTAATTTTGAGGTACTTCAGGCCAAACATGTGAGAATATCTATGATTGGTTCTCCCATTACCTTTCCTTTTGTATAAAGCCAATGGCAGGGCCTCCTTGCTCGGATTAGGACTGAGGCAGTGGAATAGTTAATTCTTTCTCTGCTCTGATTCCTCAACTTAAATGTTCTAGCCCAACCAAGAGGGAAGCTCCCAGTATTATTTTTCTCCTGCTCCTGTAATAGTATAGAATAAAGCACCCAAATTTATTAAAGTTTTAAAATATTAGTTCATTTAATTTAGAAAATGGAAAACAAAAGCAGTAGCAATTTTTATCTGGGGCAATCGTCTTTGGTCACAGATATATTTTAGTAGTAACTGTTCTGAGTACACAAAGTCCTGTCGAATTATGACAAATGAAAATTCTACTGCCAACTGGGCCATTTTGATTTAGACTAAAACAACAAAATTAAAAAAATAAACTGCTCTAAAGAGCAAGTGAACTGTAGAAAAGTTGCTGCTGAAGCAGCAGTATAAAAATCCAGTTCATCCCAAATTTTTCATTTAAATAATATGGCATTTGTGGGAGTTGGGATAATAGCTCAATATCATACTTGGACCTAACATACCAATTGGATGGCCATCAAACAAATGAAATAATATAATTTAAGCCTGGCATTCCATCTTCATCTTTAAGGCAGCTACTATTGTCAAACATCTAGAGAGAGTACTAAGTTCTCAAAATAGAGGAGAATAAAAATTTAATTGACTGAAATCCTGTTGCTTAGAGTAAGAAGACATACTAGAGTGGACCCATAGAATTAATGGAACGTATGGAGGAGTTGATTCACCAAGTCCCTACTGATTCATTGTGCTCACTCTGGTTGCATCTTAGTACACTAAGCAACAAGATTTCAGCTATGAAGTAAATACATTATATGTCTTCTTACATCTGTGACAGTGAATTGATAGCTGCATGCCTTGTAACATTTTATGTCTCCTGCCAAGTCTGTAACCCGTTGTCTTTCTGCTGTGGAATTATCCTTTTCCATTAATACAGCACATCTCTTATCCTTCCCTTTGGCATTTCTGAGTTCTACTCTGGAAAAGCCTGCTACACTTTAGTAGACTTGACATTGAAATCTTCTTTAACCAATGATAAAAATTAGCAAACCATATCTAGCTGCATTGCCAAATTCCATGGTATGCTCATTTGAACGCTGGTGGATTGTGAGTTTGTTCTGTTTAAATAGGAAGAAGACGCCTGTTCTTTTCTGGCCTAGAAGTTAAGGATTCTCTCCTGACATCTGCGCCTACTTTTTAAAAAGTCTTGTCATCCTTTTAATGTTATAAATTAATAGGCTTCTGTTCACTACAGTAAAATATTATAATGTGATATTTTAAATCATATTGTGAATAACAATAATAGTAGCAATAGAACTACTATTTAGTAATAATATAATTTACTGGTGATTCCTAATTTACTAGTTAAACTATTAATGGGAACCATGGAGTCTTCCAAGTGTTCTGGACTGCAACTTCCATCATTGCTCACCGTTGCCTGTATTAGCTAGGGCTGATGGGAGCTGCATTTCAACAACACTGGAAGGGTAATATTTCCCACCTCTATGTTTATGTTTCTGTCTTTATGGAAAAGCAAATTTGCCTAACACAATATTTATATCTCTTTTCCTCCTTCTCACTTCCAGTCCTGGCTGAGACCATCCTCTTGAAGAACCTGTGACACATACACTTTATAATAATAATTAACAGCGCTTTGACTCCTTATTCTCTTCCAAATTTGATCTATTGATTGTTTGCTAAAGATTATTTCTTTTAAGCTTTTGCTTATAATGGATCAAGGTTGCAATACCTCACTTGTTTATTCCTAGCTTTTATACATATATTTTGTGAGAATTAAATTTCACTCCTGTAAATTGTAAATAGTTCCTTACTAATTGTATCATAAGCTGATCTCTGACTGTTGGCAGTGTTAATCTTGCAGAGTTGAGAGAAAATAAAGTTTTATTTACTGTAAAATGCTGCAGACTGATGTGCTTGTTAATAGCCAAACTTATTGACTAATAACTACATTGGTTGGTGTGAGATTATGAGAGAATAGCTTCCAAAGTCTCATATATGAAGCATATAGAATAACAAGATTTTTAATGCCTATTTTATCAAGTAAATATGAATAGCTGTGACCTGTCTAGAAAAAAGACAGATTAAGGAGACTGTCAGTCACAAACTCTGGCTGTATTTTGTTCATAGGTCTGTTAGGATACAATTTCAGCTCCTTGCAATCCAGAAGTTCTTACCAGGGGAACAAGTAAAAAGGACAACTATGAACTTTATGATCGTTGTATATGTACAAAATACTCTTTAATTCTGAAAAATCTGTCAGCTTCTTGCTGTTTAATGTGCAGAGTTCTCTGATTGAAGAAAAACACACACGCTCTTCTTCTACAAAAAGACACGTGTACTAACAAAATATATACAAATGTACAAAGTAGCAGACCTTCGGCGTGGCAGGCAAAAATATAGGCACAGTAGCATAGATAGAAGCATATAGGAAAGGAGATACATTAATGTCCACACTGTTCACTTATATACAATTAAACTGATCCTTCTGTCCAATCACTTGAAGTGTTGCATCATCTTCCTCCACATGGGTGTTGCATCATCCCCAGATGTTGCATCATCTTCTTCTTAGTCACTGTGACTCAGCAGTTACACAGGTGTTCATTATGGCAGTTCATCAATTTTACATTCTGGATCTGTTCAGGTCTATAAAATTCATAATACTTTGACAAAATCTGGTTTTATTCTCACAACACTTGATGCAGAGTTGCATGAACATCTTCAAAGCTGGACATAGCTTGTTTTTAAAAGATATCCATGACAGTTTTTAGATTAAAAAAAGGAACTTGAGATGATGAAGGCACTTAGGAGTGGAAATGCTACTTTGGCATCTGTCAGAGGTGACCTTGTGTTTGAGGCCTTCCTGTATTATGTAGAAAAACTAAAATCATCACAAACTGGCTGGAACGAATTGAGTTTCACCCTTTACAAGTAGATATTGTCTGAAGAATGTGCAATCATTACTGCTTGGAGGATAGGCAGTTTTGTAAGAGTGTTATCTGCCATAAGAATGTAGACGCCATATATGGAGCCTCGTGGCGCAGTGGTTAAACCGCTGTACTGCAACCAAAACTGTGCTCAGGACCTGGGGTTCAATCCCAGGTAGCCGGCTGAAGGTTGACTCAGCCTTCTATCCTTCCGAGGTCAGTAAAATGAGTACCCAGCTCGCTGGGGGTCAATGTGTAGCCTGCATAATTAACTTGTAAACCAACCAGAAAGTGCTTGAAGCACTACGGGCAGTATATAAGCACGCTTTGCTTTTTTTTAATATGAGCAACTATGGCACTTGAAAGGGATTGGAAAAGTTGAATGTAAAATCCTAATCATGTGACATTTGCGGACATCTTCCATTGACTGGAATGTGTAGTGTAACGAAGAAGGCTTTCCTTTTCTTTATCCTGCATGTTTCTTTCTCCCCACACCAGCAAGAAATTTATTATACCTGCTACCTGATGGGAACCTAATTGTAAATTAAACATAAACCTTTGCTATGTCAAATCCCCAAATGTTACTTAAACATTATGAATTTCTTTTTCGTGGCCTCTGTGAATGCATATATATTTTCTGCGCCTGCGCTGATTTTCTCAGAAGATTCCAGAGCTAAAAGTAATAATTTTATGATGTGATCCTCCACAAGGTATATGCTCCTTCCACCCACCATCTTCCCCAGTTCCTTTTTTCTGCCGAGCTGAACGGTTCTCTGGAAAGAGAGCGCTTCGCTATTGCCTTCTGGCTGTTTTTCCAGGCTCTTTTGAGCTTTTGTTTACTTTATTTTTAGTTTTATTGCCTACTTAGTGATCCTCCACGTCTTTTGTTTTGCCTAAATTGGCTTCCCGCTGTTTTATTCCCTCTCCTTTTCTCTTCTTCTCCTACCCACAATCCCCCATCATTGCTCTTCATATGCACATACCCAGACATACTATTACAGTGGTGCCTCGCTTAGCGATTTCGTCACTAAGCGATTTTAAAAAGCCCATAGAAACGTATTGAAACCCCTTTGATGCGTTCCTATGGGCTCCTAAACTAACCTTAAGCAAAAATCCTCCATTGCGGCAGCCATTTTCAGTGCCTCTAAAGCGAGGCAACACAGCGGGCAGCCATTTTGGAACCGCTGATCAGCTGGGGCCTTTGCGATGATCGCGGGGAAGCGATCATTGCAAAGGCCCCGCCGATCAGCTGTGCTTCGTCTCTCTGTCTCTCTCTCTCTCCACCCCTCGCAGCTCCAGCCTCGGCAGGGAGACTGAGGCACCGCCACTGCCAACCTGGCCGAGAAAGACCCTCTGCGCCTGCAGCAACCTTAAGCC